ATAACACTTAAATTATAGTTTGCATCCAAATATCAGGTCACATTTGACCTCTGACCTCACTTTTACATTTCACATCTGCTTTTTATTTAAGTTAATCCCAAAATGTGTTACATCTTTGAAGACAAATATAATTTATGTAATATATATATAATATATATAGTATAATGCTATATATTAAGCTGAAGGTATTCAGCTTAATAAAGTGAATATATACGAAACACAGTACTGTTCCATTAGAAGTACATACTGCCCATAGAGTGAGCAGCTTTGGTGGAGGTTTGCATCCTGCTGTAATAACTGGTGCTGATATCGGTGATCTTGCCCCTGGTATATCTCAGCTGTCCGTCATCGCTCACCCCTACTTCTGTTTGTTTTTTATAATTAATAATGGCTGTCCTCTGCTCCTTTTCATCCTGTTTTTCCTTTCTTTTATTCACTTTTCCTCTTTCTCTCCAGTCTCGGGCAACTGTCTCTCATAAGCGAAGGTTCACTGTCAAACATTGTTGTGCCAGAAAAGAAAGTCTCTGCCACATGTACTCTGCCTGGCCCTGCTGTTCAGCCAACAGCCCAGAATAAAGCAGTTATATTAGAGGTCTCGATGGTGGTGCCACCTCAACAGAGGCTGTCTGATGCAGAGGTTCCTCTATGGAAAGTGCTAGAAGGGAGAAGTGGGAAAGGTACACCTGAAAAAACCTCTGCCGAGGAGGGTACAAAACCTTTGTGCAGAGGGTAAGAACAGACTAGGGGGCACATCTTTGTCTGCGTCTCTGCTTAATCCTCTTGTTTGTGCTTCGCATGCCTCGCTAATTGTTTGGTTTCTTAACGATGTTTGTACAAAATGCCAATTAGTGGATATATCCTTCATGTGGTTTTCCCTCTCTTCTAGCTCACATGGAGAGGATGCTGCTGAGGTGCACACGCCTGTTAGGCAAGAGAGCCAACCAGTTAAAGCAAAAGATGGAGATGAACATCATATTGCCGCACCCTCTGCTCAGCCCAGCGCACCGGCAGTTAAAAAGGAGCCTAAAGAGCCAGAGGGACCCAGGGTGGAATCAGCACCCTCAGTCGAGGTTCCCCCCCAAGAAGCTGGAGAGCGCGTGACTATGGCGTTGGAGCCACTTCAGCCCTCAAAACCAAAACCAGAACCAGAACTGCGGCCGGAACAAGTTCTTCATCCATCAGGAAAACCACAACAGGAGGGAGCAGATGAGGAGAAACCAGCCGATGCCGTGCCTGGTGGTCACGAGCATTTCATCAACAATAAGGACCCAGTGTGCGAGGCAGAAAAACAGCTGTGGGCAGCTGTGGAGGAGACCACCACCGAGATAGGAGTGGAAAAAGGGATGGAAAGTAGTGAAAGCAAGGAAGCGAAGGAGGAGAAGCTGAAAGAGGAGGAAGGTGTAATAGGGGGGTGAGTCAGCGATGGTTGCTTGCAGTGTTTGCTGCATGGCGTGACACCACATGCGCATTTTAATGGCTAACGTTCCTCTGGG